AATATCTCAAAACGTGACATAGCTTTATTAAATTTTGCCAAGAATCTTTTACCTGCTCATTTCTACAGGATCAACCACATTAGCTGACTTCCTCTCAATAAGTTCCTTTAGTAGCTGTTGGTAAAAATCGTCGTCGTCAAATATTTCTGCATCGTAATCATTCTGGAACCAATTATTAAGTCTAAATAAGCCTCGAGAGAAATTATTTATAGATGACAAAAAAAAAAATTAAAATTTGGCAAACTTACGCCTTCAACGCCTCCAATTCGATCAACATCATGCCGCTTCATTTGAGTTCTACGTAATAATCGGTGTTTTTCATTCATTATCTAAAAAAGATTAATATCCAAAATCGGCCTCAAGAAGAAATATGCATATTGATTGGAATGTATCAGCTGGTTTAAAAAAACCACTTCCAAAAGTAATCGAAAAAAAAAGGTGCATCCCACCTTAAAAAAAGTATTTTACCTGTTCAATCTGCTTCAGCACAACAGATTCAAAACCACTGAAATCTTTCTTCCTGTTTTTTATTATGCCGATAGCATTCAGCGTTGTTCGTTCGTCCCATTTTGATAATGTGGATGATCTAAACAGTGACTTTGAAATGATTAGAAATTAATGATAAAACCTATGAATTAGCGTTGCTGAAATAAGTTAATCTCACTGAAATGCTGCAAATCGTTCATGACGTTTTTCGTATTCCTTCGTTAATTCTTTCGGCATCAGCTTCTTTCTTTTGCCTAAGATCTGCTGATCACGATTCACTGTTTCGTTATCTTGTGTGATGCTATAAGAAATATTTATTCAGCTGTTTCCAACTTTATATCAAGTGAAGTTCGATTCTCGTATTACTTTTTTAATGACTAAAAGTTTAAAAGTCTACCAACAGGAAATAGAAATGACAATATTACAAAACTCGGTGAAGCTTGCCTTGCATTTGACAAGCATATATCAGAATCTCCCTCACTCTCTTTAGTATCAGATTCTATTGCACTGTCGTCTTCTTCATTACAGTCGATCAAACTCTCAATTTCTTCATCGTCTGAATTTTCGACTCCTGAAAACAGATTAGTATGTACCCATTAAAAAAGAGAGAAATTTCTAAATCAAAAGCATCTCAAATAAATATTCTAAAGAACATACTTTTTCCACAATTGTCGTCAGAAAAGCCTTTCGTCTGTTTCGCTGATTTTAACAGTTTATCTTCCATTGTCGTAAATATTTCATTCAGTTGTTCCAAATTCTTTTGCACTAAAAATAATTTTTCCAAAAAGTCTTTTTTGCACTTCTTAAAAAAGAAATTAAGCCATGAAAATCCTAAAAAATAATCAAAAAAAAAAAAAAAGAAAAAGAAAACTGAATACTGGAAAGTGAGTAATTAGTTTGTGTTTCTTCAAAAAAAAAGAAACTACTCCAGAAGCCTTCTTTCTCAGATACTTTTGTTCGAGAAAATCCATGAAGAATTTTCTAAAAAAGAATTAAACTGTACTAATTCTGCAATTTTTTTTGGTGTCAAGATCTGCTGACTGCAGCAACTTTTTGGCAAGTTGATCTCTTGGAAGTTGATTGAATATTCGCAGTGCTGCATGTGACAGGATATGCAACTGCATCAATCGGTCCCAAATCATCAATTGCTTTTGAACACTTTCAGCTATAATTGAGAAAGTACTTTCAAAAATGAATATGAAGTAAAACAAATAGCTTAAATATCCTTGTGCTTCCAGAGATTTTTATTTAAGAGTATCAGTATGAGTCCGGATTTTACTGTCCTAAAATAATAACGCACACTGCGTCATTATTATCAAAAATTTTTAAATTGGTTAACAAATCGAAAAAGAAAAAATCGCTTAAATGGATAAAAACTTTAAAAAATGAACTTAGACGGAAAATGTTCATGAGTTTACGAGTTTACAGACTCTATCCAGTAATACCAAAGTTATAAACTATAAATTTTCTAGTCGCAACATTGGTCATAATTGTTTATATCATTAAGTAACAACTGCTGACTTATAACATAATTGGACTTCTCTCCAAATGAAAATAATAAAAATACCTTTCCCACGTTGCGTATCATTCGAGATCGTTATCACACCGTCGGCAACAACATTCTTATTCTTCGACTGCGAAAGCTCAGAATCTTCTTTCTCTAAAAAATCATGCTTAAACTTTCGCTTATACTTATTTAATAATAATAATATATTTAATATAAAAAAATTTAGTATAAACCTTTTCACATTAGCACTGCCTTAAAGGTAAGAGGAAAACTTCTATTATAAATAATGATAATTCTGGATTAAATGGATGGTACAATACTTTGAACGGAGTATTTTCAATTCTACGGTTGTCTCATGCATTATTAAACTTCATACTTACGAATTTATACCTTCACTTTCAACATTATCGTTAGCAGAAAATGATTCTTGATCAGTACTATTGCCAATACTATTACTATCACTGCTGTCTTCCTCGTTTTTTTGATTATCTGTATGAAACTCATCTATAAAAGATGCTTTCTAGATCATCTATACGAAAACATCTACAAAAAGATCAAGCTGATAATATTGCAATATATCCTACACAAATATTATTAATTTAAAGGACGAGTCATAAGTACGCAAATGACGAGCATATGACCAGCTTTACTGATGTACTAAACAAAGCAAGAAATAATAGATTTGACTACAAAGTTCAAGTGATAGAATAATCAGAGAATTTCATAACTAAATAACTGTGACAAATCAAATACTCATTACTAATTAAATCTGTTACAGACATTCATCGCTAAGCAAACGATTTATAGCTAATAAGCTAAAACAAATTTATTTTCCACTAATTCAAAAGAATTCAAATTAGATGAAATAACTAACCTGGATTTTCACTGACCCCAGTGCTTGCATCAAATCTTATGTGTGCTAGATCGGATATTCTACCACCAGTAAAAACATTTTTCGATGATACTTTCTGACCTACATAACGTTCATCTCCTAGTTCTTGAGTTGCAATTATTCGTCGTTTCAAGAATTCTATCTGAAAATTGGTCATCCACTGATGAAATTCCGAAACATTATGAGTTTCTTGTCATTCCTACTATTAAAATCTAGCAAATAATTAAATGTATTTGGTTCCACATTTTCGAATTGGTCCCATAGATACTTTTCAGCAGAAGGATAAACACATTCTTAATTCTTAAGAAAGGTAAACACAATGACAGCGCCCTTAACGGCATTAACAAAAACATCAAGTGTTTTAGATTTAACATATTATCAGTAAAAATTTCTTCTATAACAATTAACAATCAAATTAATTAACATCTTGTAAACAAATAAACTAGTCAAACTTCACATTTCAATATACTGTAATATGTCAGATGTATATGTTTTTCTCGTCAAACATAATGCATAGAGTATTCGATATACAGAGGATCATCAATAAAAGATACTTCCATTGGGTCGAGAAACTTATAAAATTCACAAAATTATTCGCATAAAATTTAATTTTGAGAGCGGCTAGGTTCGATGTATTACATGATACTTATAACATTGTAGCCTCATTTTCATTATACTTTAAGATTAGGGACTGTTTTTTTTTTTTTTTTTTTTGTGGCTTTTGTTTATGATTGCCTTATGTGCATGGTGTTTCTTTCGACGATTCACTAAAGATTGCTACTTGTTTTCCTGTTTTTTTATTGGTGCTAACATAGCTGAGAGAATTTCCTTCTTTGAGTTCTGTTATAAATTTTATTGGTTTTATGTTGTTTAATTATTTAATGTTTGCGTCTTTTTTTTGTCTTTTTTAGGTATTTCTCTTTATAAAAGATAGATCTTCTATGTCTACTTTTGTTGATGATTTGTTGCTGTTGATGGTTTACCAATCTTTTTTTATTGGCGATGAACTTCCTATCCACTTTTAAGGTTTGGAAGTCAGTCTGAGGTTTCTCTGGATGCTATAGTTTTGGGATTGCATGCTATTGGCACTGGTTCTTTGTTGGGTGTCTTTTCTAGTAATTAAAAGAAGAAATAAATGATGAAAGAAATAAATGATCAAAAATTACCTGATCCGTTTGCTCGTTTTCTGTTTTGTTTTGTGCCCAGGTAGCCTCTGAATCTAAAAAACAAAAACACTGGGGATAATGCAATATATAAAATTTGATCTACCTAGACGCACTACACTTCTAGGACCTTTTACTCTGCTACCGCACAGAAAGTACATACCTTCAGTAAGATCGGCTAATTCAATATCAGGAAGTTCAACCACTTGTCCATCTAGCGAATCAATAAACTGCTTCACCAGTGACGCCATAGCTACCTGAACATTAATTGTTATAGCTTACTACCACGTAATATTGAAAATCCAAAAATGTCTTTATGCTTCATCATAAGGCTGACCTAGCTGTTGTGGTAAAGGTCTAAGACATACAAAAAACAGAATACCTTGTTTTACAAGGAATACCACTGTAAAAAAAACGTGACAATTTCAGTAAGGAAAAAGTATGGTGTTAAGCGACAAAAAAATGCATGTATGATTATAACAGCACATCAGATAGCAAATGAGAGAGAGAGAGAGAGTCATATGATAAACTGGCAGAGACGATTAAGTAGGACATTAAAAATTTTACACTAATGACATTAAAGAATTTACAAAATCCCACTCTTTAAAAATGGATAAATCAAGTTAGCGTACGAACTTTCACTAATTTTTCGACGACTTAATATTTCTTGTACATATATACAACTTATACAACTCTGTAACAAAGAAATTGTTCACAAATAATTTATAACATAAAAATTCCAATGAAAAAGAAAGGAAGGAACACCAGCTAGCAAAATAGACGCATGCGATTGAATCAAATTCGCTATTGATGTGCACAGGTGAGAAGTATGCTTTCGTACGTAACGTACGTGTTAAATATGACTTTTCTCTTTGTGAGGTAAGCAGAAAAATGTGACTCACACAAAATTATTCAACTTTTTAAAGTTATTGACAAAAATTTCAGAACCGAAATGGGTATAATCCAGCGACATAATACAATGGATGTGACTTATCGTGAATGTGCAAGATATGCCATGATTGCCAAAGAGATCTCAAACTTGAAAAAGGAAGGCAGCAGTCATCGGCGACATCATTCCGAGCCCATTTGTTATCCCAGTATTCTGTCACATTATTTTCCGGTTTGTTTGTTTGCTTACAATTTTGCCTTCTTTCTCAAATTCCATCATTCTGTAACTGTTATCTTTTGTCTTAGTTTTGGAAGAAGTAATTTTTTATTTTAGGTTATGTTTTCATATTTATATGTTAAAAACTTGAAATGGCTTTTTTTTTTTTTCAACTGAGGGAAATTATTGAAAAACCAGTTCAAGTAATGATTTTTAATACATTTAAATGAAACCTGAGTCTTTGAAAATTCTACTTTTTCGAGGTAGATTTTTGATAAGCACTTTGGTGATACAGGGTTCAGAAGAAGCATCGGAATTGCCTCTGAATGATAGTGAAATGGGTGATAGTCGAGTTGGAGGAAGTTGGGGTGATGCAAAGCGTTTCCTCATTGAGTCACGAAAACAAGATCTGGAGATTTCGAGGGATCTGGAACGCGTGATTTTTTACATATTATTGTTCCGCTTTATGTGGGAGGCCTTAATCTTGCTGTGGTAATAAAAAAGAAACATGTCTCATTTATCGGCATTCAGTCCCCATGTTTATTTATTTCTTGTTTTAATTCTTATGCACTGTAAGCCACATGTGAACAGTGGATTTCTTTGTAACAAATAGCAGCGTATTTAATTCCAAGAAAAATCTTTGAAACTGTTTCCTTTCTGCAATTCTCTTAGAAATTTCGACAATAACTGTATTTAGATTTTTTTAGGAAAATATGCATTTATATCTGAGTGAAGTGCTTATTGCTGCTATGGAACAAATGCAATGGCGTGCAATGGTCGAAAATCAACAGAATTTCACTGCGCAAGCCAGAAATGTTGGTATTCGTGAAAATTAAATGAAGCATCTTCGACTAATCTTTTATGGTTGTTTACGTTAAATTATTAGCTCTAATTATCTAGTTTTTTTAATTTAACCATATGGTAAATTTATATATGCAGTGTACTGAGCGTTATCTGGATGAAGTATAGCTGCTGGAAGCAATATCTCTTGAAAAGTATAACTTGGTGAAGTTGACAATTGTTACATGATGGCCTAAGAAAACTGAATCGTATTAAGACTTTACATTCAGTTCACTATCAGTTGTACTTGAACGTGAGGTAGAGTCAGGAAGAAAAATTGTGATTTTTAGACATGTTCATGTCCTACATTGGCAGTATCTTCTTCGGACTCGGTTGTTGACGATTCTTCTGAACAAACTGAAGAAAAAATTATTGCTGGTCCATCAGTATTCTGTGCTTCTGCTGAAGATTTACCATACAGCGAGGATAAGAAAATGTAAGTGAAAAACTAGCAGTATTCATTATATGGATCTCTTGTTGGTATGAAATAAAATATTTTTCTAGAACGATTTCCAGTTTGATAAGCGAAGTTTTGAATGATTGTCTCACGGAATGCCATGTATTAGGTCCAGTAGAAGCAGTGAAGCTGACGATGATAGTATTTGTGAAAATTCTGCTGAAGCAGTCGCATCTTCACTTTTCAAGCAGTTTTCAACGGCTTACAAACCACGTTCAGCTGCCGATATACAGTGGCTTGTTTCTTATGCACAAGCACCTCAAAGGGTACTTTTTCTCTTTTTTCTTATATTACTCTGCATATATGCTTTGTATAATTGTAAGGTAGTTTTACTTTTTTTAGCTTCTTCCAATGCCTAATGACATAGCGGTATTTTTCGATGAAATAGGTAACGATGGTCGACCAATTTTTTTTCGTGGTTCGGAGAATTGGGCGCCTCCGAGAAAGCAGTGGATTTTTCAGCTTCATCCAGAGCTTCAGAGGTTTTATATTAAGAACTGATTGGCTATAAATAATGTATTTTATTGCTATTGAACATGCTTTACTATATTCTTAAGACCAAAACGAATTTAGCCTTATTTGTGGGGTCATTGATAATATCTGCCGATTAATTTTATTGTACAGTTTTGCTAGTTTTAATAAATTTTTTGGACAGTTTGACTGGGTTGGTTACATGTTTTCAACAGCGGCTTTTGAATTTTCCGAATCTGAGAAAATGTTTAATTTTTTCTTCGAGTTTCTGTTGATTTATAAATTTATTCATTTTCGGTAGCTTGCAGTGTGCGAAAGCTTCTTGAACAACAGCAATATCGTTGTGGTGGGTGTGGTATTAAAGTTGCTAAAGTATACTGTCGTCGAATGCGTTATTGTGATTACTACGGCAGAGTATTTTGTCAGCGTTGCCATCAAGGTGCAAGAAGTCGTATTCCAGCACGCATTGTATATCAGTGGAATTTTAAGTATGTTTGTTTAGTTATCATTCGGGAATCAAAGGAATTAATAGATTCAGATATTCAGCAGTGTAGTTTTTTGAGGTGTAAGCTGTCATTTGAGCAATCTTAGAATGCGAAGGGCTGCTTCTATTTACAGTAGATTGCATTTTTCAGAGAATATCCTGTATCCGATATAGCACATCGTTTCTTATTAGATAACCATCGACAACCGGTGATCAATGTATCAGCGATTGATTCTCGTTTTTACAGCAGAATTCGTCGATTGAAAAAAATTAGGGAATTACGAATAAAGCTTGTACATATTTGGTCTTACATACGACTTTGTAATATTGCTAAAGAAACAATTACAAAATATGGAAAGTAAGCGTTAATGTCAAAGCTTTAATGATTTTATGGTTTTCTACGAAATATTGAGTGTCTTTTGCAGTTACAAATGAATTTTGATTAGTTTTAGTTGCAGTTCGTTTTTTGTTGCTGTTGTTTTTTCTGTAAGGATTATGCTATTTAGTGAAGCTAAAACTATTGGATGTACTGCTCTTCAAAAAAGACTTCTTTCAGCTTATATGCCACATTTTCTACAGTACCGAATTATATGTTGTCAGATGCAGATGTCTACTCGGTGGAAGATTTAGAAAATGTACAGAAAGGAGAACTTTTTCGAACCATTGCTCCTCTTGTACAATATGGACAATATCACATTGAAGGATGCGAGGTTAACTATATCTTAATGTCCACTGTTCTTTTTCGTGTCATTTGTTTTATAGTCAAATTTTTATAATTTTAGCATTGCCGTGCTCAAGCATTCGTCTGTGAACTTTGTGATGAAAAGAATGATTTACTCTTCCCGTTTCAAGTTGCATATGTGGATCGTTGTGAAGAATGCGGTTCATTAAGTCATAAGAGATGTGCTATTAAACGACAAAAAGATGAAAAACCATGTCCTAAATGTTTGCGAATTCGACAAAATCTGTAAGCTTATTTTCTTGCCACAGTTAAATTAATATTAAAAAAAGCAATAATTAGTCCATCCGTTCCTTTTCATTGCATAAATTATCACTTGCGTTGTAGCAGTTTGCAGTTTATAGCGTGGTAAGTGAGTGCAGAAGCATTGCTTAGAAGTTTATTCATTTGCAAAATTTTTTCGAGCCATTTTGCATGTTTCTTTTTACAATACAAAATATTGCACATGAAGTGATATTTTTTGCGCCAAATTTTAAGTGAAAGACATCGGTGTTATTCGGAGTGGTCTTTGACACCAATTGAACAGCAGGTTTCAACGATGTCATCGTTGAACGATTAGTAGAAGTGTTGTGATCTAACGAAATTCGCTTTCATTGAGATATATAAATTCATTTTTAACTTTGAATTACTTTTGTCTTCTCAATTCCTGTGTAAATGCTTCGAAATTATGATTTAATTCTCATGGAGGGTATTCTTGACTGATTCCGAAAGAAATGTCCATTCCCACTTTCTTTGCAGACAAAAGGATAGATTTGCCTATTTTAATTTTGTTTGCTTTCATTCGATTTGAAAGCAAACAAAAACTGATGAAAATGACACTTTGTTTTGGAAGTGAGAATACAGCTATTGTACATGATTATTCACCCTAACTTTATTGTACTGTAATATATTTTATTTTTGCATCAGAAGACTCTTACTACCTGTTAGGAAGTCACGTTAATAGCCTGATCTAACCATGAAAGACAATTTTGATGTTATTTTTGCTGATTTTTCATTTCTGAGCATTGGAATGCTTGTCTTCTGTTGTGACCCACGAAATGTTTTCCCATGAATGATCTTACATTTTGGATAGTATTGAAGTATTTTATTATTGATAACACTGCTGAATATATATTAAATATTTAATTTATGATTCCTCGCCTTTTCATATTTACAAGTGGACTCATGCTCAAAAATGTGCACTTCCTGTTTTCAGCTGTGCTGGTATTATTATTAACTTCTACAAATCAGCTTTTGTGTTCTCTGTTATATTTCATTCACCAGCATAATTTAGTGAGTTACGTTAGATAATTCCTGTGATTTTCATCTGTTAGCTTCGTAATAATTAAAATAGACCTTGGGAATTATAGGTAGGTCTTTGTGTGTTTGTACAGTGTTCGTAGACGATTCTCACTTTTGTCAGTTGTAGTCAAGCGATCTTTGCTTTTCTTCGATTGAAAATCGAATTTATATAAGAGATGAGGAAGCAAAAGGGAAGTTCTAATTTATTTATTTATTGTTCATTTTTCATTCTTTCACGTTTTTGAATTTTATTTTTATTTTTCGATGTAGTCATTTGTCCATGAGATTTAACACAGTTACTATTTAAGGAATGAATTTTCAGATCTAAAAGAATCTAGTCTCTCTTAATATTATTGATATATTACGATGTAATTAAGAACATAATTCATTATAATGCTGTTAAATATTGATATTTTGGGAGCATAATAAATATAATAAGGCATTATAAATTTTTTTTTATTTCAGTTTGTATTTTATTTCACCAATTTTTTATTCACTTTGTTTTCAGTTTATAATTGTCGAAATGATGTTATTTGCTCGACAAAAGATCATGTCTGGTGTAAAGTATCAAGTAAAAGTTATTTTTAGGATGAAAATATGTCCAAGAAATAAGATGAATTGTCATTTCAGCAACTGATTTTGGCGTTTGATTCACATGAAAGTCCCATAAATCTATAAATCATCTTGAAAAAAAAAAGAATTTTGAGTTTAGTGGAAATTACGATCTATACTTATTCCAAATTTCTAACCAAAATTTACTGTAAGTATATAATAGAAAAAGGATACAAATCCATCGAATACGAATAATATAATGATAAGTATATTTGGATCCGGTATTATCTGGCCAATCAATCTGGAAACTTTCAAAAAAAAAAGTGGGAGAATTAGATTTAATATAGGAATACAAACGTGTAACATCAAAAATACAGTTTTTAAAATGCTTAATCGTGATTGGTCTTATGAATTGCATAATCAATAGCTATTCGAAACAAGAAAAAAAAGCTAAAAAAATGAATGCTAAGCAAATTTCAATTTTTTTCTAACTGATTTCAAAATCCAAGGTTAAAAAATGTTGTTAAATTTGAAAAGCAACTCAATGTTTAAATCATTTTTTTTTTTTTTTTTTTTGTTTGTGGACGTTGACAATGATGACAATTATATAAGTAAATAACTTTTTCTCGTAGTAATGAGAACCACAAGAAAGAAAAAGTCTAAAGTTTAGAAATGAACTTCATTGGAAAAGTAGAATTAACACTAGTCAAGAAATGTGTTTTACATGCTCCAATTTGAATTTGTAGGTTCTTGGGCTTATATTAATCAATTTGCTGTCCAAAAATTAATGACATTTCTCGAAGTTTCAAAAGTGAATTTTATGTTTAATAAAAAACGCTTTGAAAAGACATTTTATGCAAATTATGATTTGTGAAGGAAAGACTGTTTGTATAGTTAGATGTTATGCAGTTATCTGAGATATGAATACAACCGTATCAAAAAACACTATTGCTTACAGACAATAAAGATTTTTAAAAATCTTTCTCTTTTATTATTAGTGGTCAGGTCACACTATTTTTTGTAATGTATTTGCACATGCTAATTTTCATAAAATACAAATTTTAATTATACAGACAGAAACATCGCTACCTACCGATACCAAATAGAAATTTAGCAAGCCAACTTAAAACTTCGAGTTCGAACAATGTTCGCTAAATTTCTCATAGTTTCGTTAGGTTTGTGCTGGGGTATTAGTATGAAAATGCTTCATCCATGTTACATTGTTTTTGTGTTGCGCATATGTGTGAGCGTTCTTTGTTAAAGTATTTTAAAATACTATACGTAGCTGGTTTGTGGTTTCTGTGATCGAAGCATTATCGTATACCTAGCTAGTTTTAGAAATGATTCTGATTGGCTGTTATTACTTTATAATGCATTCAATGCATTTAACCTAAAGAATTTTTATAAGAAATTTATAATAAAATCGTATGGACAATTAATGCTTTTCTTTGCTTAATTGAAATGCACACTGATATCCGTGATAAAGTTAGATTCTTTAGATCTTCTTATAATCTCATTTGATCAAAATGTTTCATTAGTGAAGTAAAACCTTTGCAAAATGCACAAGTTCACCATAAAATATAATGAGCTGTACGTATGATTTTTGTTGTAAACATGTACCGAGCAATGTGGCATTATTTGGATTATTTTCGTTTTTTTTTTTTTTTTCATTTATAACTACTTAACATTTGTAATTACTTCATCAATTGGTCATTTATAAATACTAAATTAGTTTTTGAATAACTTTATCCGCCGTTGTAATTACATCTTCCCTTTTCTGCAAAAATCATAGAAAAAGTGACATATACTCCTTATATTTTTTGAATTATATAATATTCAAAAATGAGTTTTCGCTTGTTTCATACATAAAAATAATATCATTCATTCTTCATCAGATGTTATACGAGTAATGATACCAATTAGTAGTGATAAACGATAATAGTGATAATTCGAAACGATGTAGTTGAGGAACATAAAATTACACCAACAATTTTGTGTCACCAATAATTATGCTATCATTCAAATATTATGTGTCAAAATTTATTTGAAATAATGAATAAAATTATTTGATAATTTTTGCTTTTTGTCCTCTTCCTCCTTGTTTGCAGTTTTTATTTATTTATTTTTTGATAATGACAATATTATCATTTGTTATTTGTCATTCAGTTCGTTTATTTCTTAATAGACTTATCATTTCTGAGTATTTCAATTTGTCCAATTATTATTTTTGTTGTTAAAGAGAAAAGGAAACGAAGGAAATCTTTACACCTTATTTTTTATTATCATACATGTCGTTTCTTTCGTTTATTTCTTTCCACGGTTGATTGATTATTGAGAGAGTATGAGCGATCAAAGCTCTGACAAACGATTTCTTGAAATTTTAGCAATTTCAAATGTCCTATGAAAAGTGTATGACGAAATTGATATAATATTTATGAAAAATGTAAATAATTTGGTAAATAAAAATTGCTTCTTTTTTAATTGAAATTTTTTTTCTCATGTTTTATTAATGATTTTAAATGATGGTAAATGCTGTTTTATACTCTTTTTATTTACTCTGATAAAAGTGAATAATTGAATAAGAGATTTAAAAAAGTAAACGATTTTTAAATCGTTTATTTTTTTGTCAGTGATGATTTGTGAATAGTCACTGATTTAAATTTGTTTTCTAATTTTAAACGATTCATGCAATTGTCATGTTTTGTTTGGTTAAACGTGGTAATATAAAGTTAATGCATATTAGAAATGATGATATATATAATGGTAGCAAATGTCTTAAATTACAGTATCTTACTTGGATTACATGATCTCTTTAATAAAAAACGAATAAATTCAAATTAAAAAGAACAATTTCGAAACTATTCATGTCGAAGAAATTAAGCTAATAGAACAACTTGCTGTATTATTATTATTTTGGTTATTATTCAACGATTTGTTTGATATTAATCTTTGACACATGCAGCATATATTGAATAATATGCGAGGATCAAAATTGTTTGTTTGCATATATTATCTTTAAAAAGTTTCAACTTCAAGTACTTATGATTTATGACTAAAATTGGTATTATATTATATAATAATTAAATATTTCTTTAAATATTAGTTAATATTATCGCAAAAATTTGAACAAAATCTCATGATGTTAAAATATATTAAATTTGTTATGCAAAATATCTTCTTAGATATTACATCTATTATCATTTAACGAGTGTAAATTAGTATATTTAAATTTGAAACATTCGTCAACTTACAGAGATGAAAATTTGAGTGAAAATATTTTGGTTACTAGTACATGATGATAATAAGGTCAGATTAAGGTATTCCTCATAATTAATTGATATCTATTTTCGTCCCAACTTTCAACTTACTACTTTTCAGGATGGCATTAATTTGAAATCACTGATTTATAAATAAAGCACTGTTAATTAAATTAAATAATATAAGCGAAATATCTTAAAAACATTAGATTATTACGATATATCTGCAATAAATACAATAATTACACACAACTTCAACTTCACTTTATTTTAAGTAAACAATTAACATCAGTCTATAACTGATAAATAATAATAAATTTGCAGCTGAATTCAAAATTCCTGTTTTTCCATTCACTGTACTTTTTGCTAATAAGAATTAATTCGATTCATTCATTTCTTCTTTATTAAATTACAATAAAGTTCACTAAAATCACTAAATAAAAATACATGATGTTTCGACATTGTTTCAGTTTCAACCCTTTTTCAAATTTAATGAATTTTAAATTTCTGCAAAAATGGAAAGGAAATAACTACCATTTAGCAAAATTAGTAGTGCTAAATTTTGTTCATTCATGCATAACATTTATGCATGACAGTGATATATATAGTAATAATCGCATGACGACAACAATGATATGATGATAATGGCCGTGATGATTGCATCTTTGATTAAAATCATGATAATACTTAGTTATCAGTAGTCCATTAAACATAACAACTTACCTTAGGGAATTGCCACCACTTCCCTACTGCTCCTCCTTTTTCCTGCTACTGATCTTCTCTTCATCTCTTTTCCTGTAATCTTACTTTTCACTAGTGCTGCTCATTTTACTAAACATCTCATGGTTTCATCATTTTACCTTCTTTGAACCTTAATTACTATTATCACTATCATTATCATTATTATAATTATATTGCCATTATTGTTATATCCACCGTCATCATCACCATTCGTCATTTTATTCATTGCAATATCGATTCCTTAACCGCTCCATCAACATTCAACTTTGTACTTTTTGGCTTGTTATTCTTTACTACTTTTATATTTTTTACTTTAAGGTAATTATGAGTGAAATATTGGATAGTCTCAACAGACTGGGTAAGCTTGCATTATTTCTTAGTCAGTGCTTGTGAAATCAATGCTTTATTCCACAAAATGCGAAGTATTTCAGTCTTCCCAGAAATATTATATTTGATTTATTCCATGATTTGATAACTGATTCAAATTTGATAAACATAATTTGGTTTTCTAATTTTGGATTCTAACTAAAATTAATTAAATATTTGTTTCTTATGTAAATTCGATTTGATTGGATATATTGTGAGATATGATAAAATATAGGTTTAATTAATAGATAAATAACTAAATCAAACTGTGGAATATGTTGAATTTATTTGATAAATGATTAAATAAATTGAAGCGATAAACGCGCTTTCCGTATTTGTATTCATTTCTATCTTTCTAATGTTTTATTACCTTTTTTTTTCAATGTTTTTTTCAAGAAACATTTATTTGCTGAAAATTGTTAACGTCAGCTCAGTTATTGATGACCTACGCTTCCACAATACCTTCTCTTCCCGTTAAATCTTTTCAACTCTAATTTTTCATAACTTCAATATGACATCATAAAAGTAAAAGTGCACAAAGATATGCAATAATTTGAGATGAAAATACCGTAAATTTTAATTTTCTTCTACATAACTTTTCTTTTTTTGATTTTCCTCTTTTTTCCTTTGTTTATTCAAGTTTATTCAATTCAATTATATTATTTAAGATAATTAGGAATGATAAATAGTAGGTGATTAGCCAATGGCACTCACTATGTAATAAGAAGTGAAATGTGACTAAGATGATTAAAAAATGACAAGTGATAGGATAAACATCTGCCTATAACTATTAGAGATAAGAATAGCACTTGTTTATTATTATATTAAATTTTATGATATAAAAAAATTGATAGATATTCTATGCTAATATCACTTTCGTCATAGTCATTTTTATTAGAGTTATATTGTGGCTACCCTACTTACAGTTTTTAGAGATATTCTCCGGGAGCAATTCTTCCCGAAAATCTTATTATGTTGTTTCATTGGTAAAATGTATATCTCAGAACTATAAAGTTCGTTAATTAATGAGAAAAAAAAAAGTATTTTTAAGGAAATGAAATGTCAGTTACTTCTAATTTTTTAAAATATTTTTTCGCTTTCTTTTTCTATTATCAAAATGTTGTTCTCTTTGAAAACTTTTTAGAATGCATATTACAGTAAATGAATTATAAAACATTTAGTACAATATTTTCATTTATTGAAAGATAATGATTTGAAATTTTATGTTTACAAAAAAATATTTAATAAAATTTATAAAAATTTATTTAATAGTAGTAATATTTAACTAATATTGAGTTTTAGCGTAGTTATTTTTATTTATTTATTATTATATCTTATGATAAGGACTTCAATATTAACTATATAATCTTTCCATACTTTAAAGAGAACAATTTTTTCTTTACTTATTGTTAATACTTGCCGATATAATCAGCGTGGTGTATAAATTTAGAAGAGTGTTGCATCTGTGGTGATATCGCGGATGGTTATCACTACGGTGTCTTGTCATGTCGTGGTTGCAATGCATTCTTTCGACGAGCTGTTTCGCTCGATGTACAATTTTATTGTCGTCGAGGAGGTACATGTCGAGTTGATAAAAGTTCGTCTTTTCTAAAAGAGAGAAAGAAAAAAGGGCTGAATAATAGTGGACATATTTAACTATTTCTGCATTCTTTATTTGCTTTTTTTTCTATTCACAATTAAATATTTAGTTAAGTTTTTTGGATTATTCAAGAATTATTAATATTTGATAAGAACCAAATATTTCTGCTTGCTCTTCCCTTTACTTTTACTGCTCAAATATTTAATTTTAATATTAAAAGCCTTTTTCTGCAATAAAAGGAATAAATGATTGCTGTTCATTGATTATGAATAAATTACTAATTTTAATAAGAGAATTTTACAATGATAAATTAATTTTGTTATCATTTTGGAAAACTTATGCTTATTTTAAATGCCCGATGTGCATGTCGAGCATGTCGTTTGAAGAAATGTGAAGAAATGGGAATGGATCGAAAAGGTATTTATTATTCTACTAATTATTTTATCAAAAGTTCATCGCTTACAAAAGTGTTTAAAAGTTAATATTTGTTACTGTTTGAATTAAGAGAATCATGCATATCGCACACTAACTTATACTTTAAAAAACATTAAATGAGTGAGAAAAACTTTTCTTTATCATGCAATAAAAAAGTTATCAAATTATCTAATTTAATGCATTCATTTGTATTATATCCCATAAATTAATCGATTCTTTCATTCTTTTAAATTTTATTTCTTAATTTTTAAATTGTTTCCTTAGGAAAATTAAAATATATCAGTCTTTTTTCCTTTTTTAACACTTCTAGTACAAAGTTCTTTCAAGCTGTTGAATGATTTTTTTTTTTTTTTGATTTTTCATTTTTGAATTATTTATTTGAATGATTTTTCACTTTTCATATCTTTGCATTTCTTAATAATTGTAAAATTTATAAGCCAATTAATCGTTTTATCATAATAAATTTTATCATTGCTTACACCTTATTTTATCATTCTTTTCAAAAAATTATATTTAGCATCGTTCTTTTTTATGTTTTTCTTAATTCTCACAATGTACGAATATGAAAAATATATGTTAATTACAAGTGTATATTTTGACCATTTTTTAGTCGATATCCGAAATGTACTTTAAATTTTTTCTTTTCAGTCACTTTGAAGTACTATCTTCTTTGCAATTTACTTCAGATTCTAATCGACCATAAAATAATTCTGATTTCTCTAATAACTACTCGTTTAGCTGTGACAAGATTAGCTTGAACAATTCTTTTCAGTTAAATAGTAATAATTTGTTTCAATCCAATTAATTAATGATATTCTTATATTTTCAAAATTTATTTGTTAATCAATTTCAGTGCAATATTATTACTCCTTAATATCATTTATTACACCATTTAGTGAACTTATTCACTAAATGGTGTAATTCATTCATCTATTTAGTGGTACAACTTAAACGTCTTCATGAAACTTACCAAAAATCAATGATAAAGATAAATTCAAAAAGAATGGCAGCAAATTCAACTGAATTCATCAATAATCCGTTATCAACCATCTCGAACAATAATCGATCCGAAATGGTACCACACAAACTTAGTTTTACTCGTCTTGCATAGAATTTTCTAACACCTATAAAAGTGATAATGTGGAAAAAAAAAGATACATATTAAAAAGGAAACAGAATGGCTGTTTAATCGAAATAAGCAAAAATTTTTCTTTATTAAAAATAGTGGTATAGTTCATTTTTTCTAGAAGTTTGTATTTCAGAGAAGAGATGATCCATCAGTATCCAATTATGATTATGGTGTGAGTTCAGCATCACAAGAAAAAGGATTGATAGCTTGTTTGGTAGATGATTACAAGAAGCAGGTAATGATAATTAACTTACTCTATACATTATTATCCAAACAATAAATCAAGGTCATAAATGGAAGATTTGGAAAAGTTAGCGAAAAAGAATGACCTATTGATAATTTTGCTATACAAATAAGATGCAAATAATCTGCCACACAAACGGTAGCCAATTTGAAACGATATATTTGATTGATGAACTACTTGCGTATTGTAAGATTTGTTTTGTGATATTTCAAACAAATGTAAATGTGCGGTAATGGTGCACTGTTGTAGCGGTATATAACTAATTTTTAGAGAGAACGACGACGAATGATGCTATGTCAATGTGTTGAAGAAATTATAGTTGATGAGATTGAAAGTGAAGGGATATTAAAAGGACCTGCTTCCACTCTTGATTATGTTGACATTTTTAAAGTGCAAGTGGTTCTAATGCATGAATGGGTTTTAAGGCTTGAAGAGTTTAAGTAAGATTTTGATTTCTTTCATTCTTTTTTCTAAATAATACTGAAATATTTATTTATTAAACCAATCATAATCAATTAGTTAATAAATTAGTGTATGACAAATAGGATCATTAAAAAATTAATGTCATATTAATGACATAATTATTTCCTTCAATAATCGGCAATAATAGATATAATTTTTTTTTTGATATAATTAATGTGGTATTAATTAGTTTGATTATTAATTGCCGCCTGCTATTCTTTCCAGTGCTATAGAAGATCCATTTGATAAATCAAAATTATTACGACGTTTTACATTACGATACATGTTATTGGATAATATCTTTCATGCGGTAGAATTGGGCGTTCGCGATCGAATAATTCTTGTCAATAATACATACATAATTCCAGGAAATTTTCCGAATAATATGCCGGATGAAACCCAAATTAGTCAGACAATAAAACGCATGTAATTTACTAATTTTTGATGATTATGTGAATTACTCATCAAATAATTATCAATTACTATGTAATTATTTTGGATAATCAGCACATCAAGTGCAATATTCCTGTGATATGATATTTATGTTAGCAATAAATTTCAAAGTTTTTGATTTAAATGAAAAAGTAATAAGAATAATTCAGGATGTATGGTGAACGAAGTGCTCAATTGATTGATGAATTAATTGCTCCAATGATTGATATGAATTTTACTATTGGTATGTAGACAAATCATCCTTTACGAATTTACATGACAGTAGATTGTGTAACATTTTCTTAAAAAAAAAAAAAAAAACAAACAAACAAAAAATCAAGTTTGAATTTAGATAGGAAACTTAGCGAAAAAGCATTAATGCAAAAGAGCGATAGAAACTTGTTTATGATTAAGATTTAAACCAAATCCTGAATATTTTTGAAACAAATAGCTTTGAAGAGTTTTAATAATGCATAATTCTACCTAATTTAACTACTAAAAATCATCGATAGAAATTAGAGTTACATAAAATAAGATGAATATTATTGTTTACTTATAGGGCCAATTTTAAGTAATCTTGTGATTTAACGTTCAATTACATAAGTGAATAATCTTATTATTTTCAGGGGAGTTTATGGCTTTACGCTTAATAACATTTTGGAATCCATACGGTATGGCCTTTTCACCTCAAGCAAAAAAAACTATCGAGATGGCGAGAAATCGAGCTGTCAATGAGTTATACCGATGGTATTCAGATCAACATTTTGAATCGATCGATATTCGTCTAGGCAATATATTGCTTTTACTTTGTCCAATAACTGTAAGCTTTCTCAATTTTATATGTGATTTGGATTTAAAAATTTGCTAATTTATGCCTTACCTTATTATATGTGTGCATGCTTGAACTGACCAGCTAACTTTTATTGACCATTAATTTGATTAAATACTAATTAAATCAATAGCAAATCATTCTTCAGGAACAATTACATTATATGACAGAAATGGTTAAACTAATTCCATCGTTTGGTACACTTAATGAAAGGGATTCATATCTTCAAAACATACTTGCAACGTGATCTTTCATACTTCATTATTTTTCTTTCTCTCTGTCCCCCTCTCTTTTTCTCTCCCTCCCTCTCCTTCCCATTTCCTTATTCTTTTTGTGTCATTTTTTTTAAAAAAGTCTCATTTTATTTGCTGAAATTTTGTATTTTTTTTTTTGCTATTCATTTATTTAATCTTAGCCTATAAGTACTAGTCATGGCCTTAACCATACAATAATGAATTCATGGTGTAAAAAATTTAGTATTTCTTCTTTACTGCTCTGCTTCCTTGCGAAACAAAGTAGTTTTCTTTCTTGATAGTTCAGATCGTTGACTTCTTTGTCTTCGATACTGGAGATTATCGAATCTGTACTCGTTCCGTTCTGTGTACGCGTACTCTGGGTGTCTTCGTGAAATACTTTATTATTCAAACCTCAAACTTGGGTTATTAAAGCACAGATTAACATTAAAAATTATACAACATTACAATAACGAATTGATACATAACACACAAATGTAACTTAATTATAAAACATTTAAGGATATAAGCAAGCTAGACACCTCGCAACCGAGACATACCAAAGCAAGAAACTATAATGAATGGTTTTGTAACGAAGAAAATTGTGAGGGATTTTATGGATGCTAAGGTCACAAAGTAGATTAAAATCATTTAAAACAATAGCCTTTGTCCACTACGTTATAGCTTCGCCATTGTGGCGACACATGGATTATGGATTTGGTTGTATAATAATTCAGGTTTACTGCATTTTCAGATTTTATAATTGTTCCATCCCTATTGTTACTTATAATTTCAGTTGTAAAATGCAACATGAGCCTTAAATTTTAATAACAATAACTTTAATTGGATCAATTAAGTGAATATTTTATCATTCCATTTTTAAATTTTTCATTCGAAATAATTTCTGTGTTCAAGAAAATGCCTAACCGTTGACTTAAAAGAATTGATTTATTTTGAAGAAAAATAAAACAGACTTGATCTAATTTCCAGTATCTTCGAGAATATTCAGTTGAAATTTTCGATGCCAAATTAATAATTTTTACCATTTAATTTCAGATAATCATTCATTTTTTTTCAATTGGAAATGGGAAGAGAATAGTTTACTTAATGTTTTAATAATTTGCAATGAATCACCAAAAATATTCATAATATTATTCATATCGATACAAAAGTAACTAATGGTAGACACTAATTATTAACTGATGAATTTGATTTTTTTAATGAATTAAGTGAATTTGGTGAAATTTATTCTTTCAAGCATGTCTGTTCTTATCCTATTCCATATAAAACAATATGAAGCATTCAATCAATTCATTTTATAAATTATTTGTTTTATTTTTATTTGATTACTTCGCCAATTAAGAATTAACTCATTAATTGTTAATTGTTTTGCTTTCTCAATTTATCAATGAATGCATAAAGTTTCAATTTTCTTGTCATTTATCTTCGTTTTTTGTCATGAAACACTAATGGTACGATTAATATAAAGTTCCAAATGATAAAAATTCAAACGTGCAAAAAGTTAAGAACAAATTTTATTACAATGAAAAAGTATGCTCAAAGATTTTTAGAGCGAAATTGAAAACTTAAGGGAGTCGAAAATGAAGAAAATATATTTAATCACAGCAAGCCTCATGATGGAATTTGCAAAAACTAAAAATGAAAATTAAACTTATCAGATAACTTATTGAAAAATAAATTCTAATTTATAGGCTTATCAATTATTTCTATATGTGATTGTAATTTTCCACTATTACCTTACCAAGTCGTTTTTATTTCTTATAGCTGATAAGTGACTGAAATTTAAAACCTTATCGTATTGCACACAAGTGTTCTGCAGTAATATGTTAACGTGCCATTTAAAAGCAATTCAGTGATAAATGCATGAATTCTGAATAAAATTTAAATGTTATTTGAGTCGACCAAAAATTTTTGATTTCAATCAAACAGCATTGTTTCCCATAAGTAATTGTCATTCTGGAAATTCTAAATTAAAGTTTTTTAATGTAGGATATAATTCCTTAAAAAATGAAATAAACTTGTTTTTTCCAAGTTTTGATGTAATGAAAGCTGACAAATTTGTTTTTATTGTTTAATCAGTGTTTTGTTTAAATTAACTGCAAAAGATTTGAAATTAATTTTTCAGGTTTTTTTTGAACATTTGAATCTAATAAAGATTTTTTAAATATAAAACTTAATAAAAAAGTATTAAGAAAAAAAATGTAGATCAATTAAACACTAAACTACAGATGAAAATCATCTATTTTAATAATTGCCTTAAAAAATGCATAATATTTTATAATCCATACATTATATATTTTCATTTATCAGTATTTTCAGAAAATTACCTATTTTAATAATTGGCTTAATGACATTATTAATTGATATTAATGACTTTATATTACATGGCTTAATGACAACATTTGTTTCATCGATATAGTAAAACCTTTTTGTGCATACAATATTTTATATTGTATGCACAAAAACTACGCTAAATTTATCAAAAGACAATTAATTACATCAGCTTATGAAGAATAAAAAAATGCATAATATTTTATAATGGATAATACATTGTATGCTTGCATTGATCAATATTTTAAATGAATTGCATATGACAATATAGCTAAAATATTTTAGCTAATTAATTTTTAAGCATAAACCATTCGCTCTTTTGATTTGCACAATAAGCCAACAATAATAAGTTATAGGCTTTCCATCTAGTAGCAATCATCGCTTTCTCTCTTCACTTATCACTGAATGGTGAACAATTAAGAAAACCTGTTTGTCTCATCGACATTACAATCATTTGGTATTTTCTACATCAGATGCCAAAGAACACAGCCAAATATTTTTTTACCTATGCTAAATAATTTACTTCTTCATCTCTTTATCATTATTTCCATTATGTACGAATATTACTAATTATTAATTCATAAAGAAGAGTTACTGCATTTTTGAATTATTATTGTTGAACGTATGATAGCAAATTAAATGAATATTTTCATTCCGTTTTCTCTTCGTTTTCATTTTTTTAATGCAAACCTCATTCGATATTTAATTCAAAACTTCAGTTAATTTCATATTCTTTATTTTATCTCCTTATCTTTCTAAGTTTATTTCTATCACACTGATAAGAATACGAGATGCTACTCATCTTAATTACATGCACGGAAATTTTTCGAGGAATAAACTGTAAGCCACAAATGATAATGCGTCATTCTCCATCATCTCAACAATTACCACCAATTTTAATGCCTGCTAATAATAGACCTGAATCAGATGATCGGTTGCTCTTAAGAATGCTATCACCACCACCGCCACCACTGCCACCACCGCCGCCACTACTACCACCACCGCCACTTCCACCACCATTGCCGCTTCCACCATCACCTCTACTTTTACCTCCTCACTCCTCTTTACTGCCATTATCATTCTTAAATGTTGATGATATTCCATTTCTGATGGATCATTTTGCTCCAACTCCATTTGATCATATACCACCTCGAGTGTTTCAGCAAATACAAATGTTCTGTTACAGGTATCCGGCACATAGTAAATGCAGGTTAAATTTTAAATATTGTCGAAATTTTAAAAATGCATAGTATTTAGTGCTAATTAATTGTCGCATTGCAGTTGCATAAGTTGTCTTATTTATTTTAAATTTTCATTAATACAATGAATACACTTTGATTTATTCAGGAAAAAAGAATGGATAACAGTTCAAACAGTCAGTTTTCCTACGCAGAAAGTAAGGTTATTAATTAATGGACCAAAAAATAATTTGATATTAATGTATTAATATAAATATTAATAAATAATGTAAATAACTCTGAATGAAGCTTTTACAAATTTTTTTTTCGAAGAACAGAGAAAATGAAGCAGAAATTCAGGAAAAAATAAAAATTTTAGGTAGTCACAAAAAATCGAAAATTTTTAAAAAGTTTTTCCCCCTAAACTTTCGAATGATTTAATAATTTGTTTCATTCATTTTCCAAACAGAATTCTTGAAATTTTCTCAGTTTTTTTTTTTTCTTTTTTTTGTTTTTGATTTATAGAATGCGAGTGATTTTCTCTCTATACCAGAAATACCCCAAGTTGATGTATTGAAAAATGTCCCAAAGAGTTTAATTGCTGGTGCGCCGCGATTTGCTTTCCGGGAATTGAAAAAAGAGAGTCGCGAAACACTTCTAGTATGTGCATAGCGAATTTATTTTATGTAGAGAATATATCAGAATAGATATTCTGGTATTCTTCGATTTCCAATACATTTTTTGTAGCTATGATCTATCATGTGGGTTTTTACAGAAAATAGGATGAAATTCAATCTGACAGGAGGATTGATGGAAAATAAAAATTTCAGAAGACTTGCTTATATGAAGTGAAATGTTTGCAGCAAGAAGAAAAATCAACGCTAAAGCGTGAACAAATTGCTGATCTTGAAATCAATCTTGCAAAAAAGTTTAATATCTTTTTCTGCTTTTTTAAAAAACGTTAATAAACATTGTTTAAAAGTGCATAGTGTTTAGTAACTTTCAAATTACGACAAATTTACTGAACGGATAATGATGATAGTAACAGTTACTATAAAGGAGTTAAAATGGTCAAGATGTAAAGTATCATATATAACTATTCGTTAAACTTTTGAAGTATTAGAACACGTCTAGTTTATTACGTGGAACCCTGATAATTCAAATCAATTTTTATTCATGAAAAAATAATATTTGGCTTGTTTTGCATGGTGAAGCCTATTTTAATAGACTATTTAAGAAAAGGTATTGATAATTTGGAGGATCACGTCGAATTAAGACTAATGCGCACACAACAGGTGAAGAATTCATTGCTAGAATTTGCTGGAATTGCTGATTCGGTTTGGTTTGTCATAAAAAATTATCTCTAAAAATATTGAAAGTGTTTTCTCGTAATTAAAGCGAAGTAAAGAGAAAAATTCGATCTATAAGAATGATATCATCGAAGTGCTCTTTGCACTTTGATATCACTCAGATTACTCACATTGATAATCACAAAATATATTTTTAGATTATTTAAAAAGATATTTATAGGTAGTACCCGCAGATGATGGAACATTTCAAGATGATGTACTACTAACTGTACAACAATCTAATCATTTAATTAATTCAATTAATAATCCGGAAGTACGAAAAAAAAGACAGTCATTGTTTCTAGATGATTTACCAAATGAGAAATGGAATGTTACTAAACCAATTAAATATGTTTTAGATTCATCTCTTGGTTAGTAAATAAATAACCAAATGTTGACATCAACTTTTCATTTTTGTTATTATAATGCATATTTATTATAAAAAAGAATGATTTATACTAAAACTTAATAAATGAAATTATACATATTATCTATAATAAATAATAATTAAGTATATGATGCAATTACAAATTCCTTATTTATTAATTCATAACAATTTATCAATTAACTATTATTTTATTTACTGGCTTTGTTTAAAAAATATTTTAATGAGATAAGAATGTGCTATAGAAATAAAGGATGGAAAGTTAGTAATGAAAGCACTGGATGAAATTGGATTACAAACATGCATAAAATTTGAACTCGTTGAGGAACAACCCAATGAGTCACATTTATTGTTTGTAAAAATTCCCCAATCTAACATGTAAGTGATTTATTTTATTTATTTATTTATTTATTTTTTTTTTTTTTTTTTGAATTTTTACTTTGATAATGAGTTATAAAAAGTTATGATAGAAATGAAGGAATTTTGCAGTTGCGGTTTGAGCTATATTGGTCGAGTGGAAGATGTTAATCCTATCTATCTGAGTTTCGCTTGCGAAGAGGTAAATTATCATATAGTGGAGAAATAAAATATATCATAAATACATTGGCAGTTTTTATTTTATATATGTATATAATTACAGAGTATTTTTTTCTAATTTATATTTTAGAATTTTGGTTCATTTAAAAAATTTCTTTGTAAAAATTGGAAATTTTATTAGCGTAGAAATTTGGCTAAACACTTTATTTCATGAAAATTGCTTCAATACGATCGATAGTCAATACATTTAGTTTATTTACAGTGAACTAATCAATGAAAATAAAATAAAATTAGCTATGTGTAATAGTATACGTAATCAATGTTAGTTCTTCTTTAACGTATAAACTAGTCTGATTAGTAAAATCCGAGTAAAACTATTAACATTTTTTTCTTTACTAAACAAATTATTGCTCTTATTAATTAGCTCTCAATGATTAATTCAATAAAACTTCAAATAAAATACAAATTAACTTTCACACTTACAATATAAATAGTTTTTTTTTTAACTTTCACATTAATTTTCACATTAGATTAACATTCACATTAGAATTCAAACAAATTTAAGGACAAACTTGGTAGGCTAATAAATTGGTTTGATTAATATTTCAATAAAACTAGTAAACAGTTTCTTTTATTTTCTAAAGTTCATATGTAATTAATGATAATTAATATGATTCCAGAATTTTGGTATAATAATTCATGAAACGCTCCATGCATTGGGTATAAATCATCAGCAATTACGTTTTGATCGTGACGATTACCTTATTGTTATGTGGGAAAATATTAATCCAAAATTATATGATTATTTTGCTGTATCTGATTTAAAGAAATTTACAAGGTTAGCTAAATCGTTCAATTTTGATATCAAAGAATAACTAAAGAATAAAGACGAAAAAGTTTAAATTGAACCATTTATAACAAATCATATTGAATGCTATAAAAGTAGGTAAATAAGTTACAGTTATGGTGTAAGTTATGATTACTACAGTATCATGCATTATGGGCCATATGTTGGCGGAGTTAATTCAAACAAGCCAACTCTAGTACCAAAATATCAGAGTGAACGATTTCTTAAAGTAAGTAATTAAATATTCCATTAGAATTTAGAAGAATTTAAGGACAAACTTTCTAGGCTAATAAATTTGTTTGTTTTCAATCATTCCTTAAAATTATTCCAGGTGATAGGTCAACGAAAAGCTTTAAGCGACAAAGATGTTGAATTATTAACAGCAATGTACTGTAGCAAAGGTAGGCGCTAAATAACGATAGCATTAAAATAAAAGAAAAAATGAATAATTCTAAAATGTACAAAAAGAAATCATTCATACTCTGAGGTATTCATAATGAATAATTAATGACATATCATGCAATATTATTTCTAGGATGCACCGATAATAACGTTTATTGCGGTTTTTGGGCATTAAAGCAATTATGCACTGATAGCAGTTGGATGAACAAAAATTGTCGAAAATCATGTGGCTTATGTTAATTAGCACTTCAGATCTGTTTTATTGCTTAAATGTTCATCATCTTAGAATATTTGCTTCCTTTGATCTTTCCATTTAGATATTATTTTTCAAACATCTATTATTCCATTATAAAAAACAAAAAGTAAAATAAGGAAAAACCTTATGTTTTATTAAAAAATTTTTATCTATGCTTTTATTTAATAAAACAAAAAAAAAAAATATTTTAGCCTTATTTGCTAAAATAGAATAAAATAAATTTAAAATTAAAGAAAAGTTTTTAGTTCAAAGTTTACATCTACTTAAAATTACAGCTTACTGGTGAATCATCACTACACATATTAAAACTATTTCGCCAAAATATAAAAATTGAACAAATATATAAAAAACAATAAAATTTTCAATTTATAATTTTTTGAATAATCGTTTGTAATATATTCATTTTAGCTAACTGCATAAAAACTTATAATTTCCTTTTCGTTTCTATTTCAAAAAATTATTTAGAAAATAATTGTTTTACTATTTGCTATTATAAAATTCTTTCTTTTCCTTCTTTTTGAATTGTCCAATAAAGTAAATTATTTGTTCATCTTTATATGCCAAACTTACTAATTATTTACTAAATCATTCTAAGCACAACAATGAAATTTACGTGAATACAAAAAGGAAGTTTTAAATTAGCAATTATTAATTGAGCAAACTATATATGATGCTGAAATTTTGAATTTTTGAGCAGAATTATCTTTTTACTGATATCATATCACGATAAAATACATAATTTTAAATCATTATACTTTGCAAAAGTAGTAATTCTGCGTGTTTTCTATTCTCACATTTTTGTTAAACTAACATAAACTAATGTACCTGACACTTTTATAAGAAAGTCCATAAAATAATTCGTCATTGAGGTAAATTTCAATTAATCTTAAAATTTATTATCAATGATAAATAATTTAGTTTATAAAATAATAAAAGAAAATACAATATATAATATTTTATTTCTCAAAAAGTTTGACGAAATAAATGATTAAAATTTTGTTAAAATGATTAAATGAAAAAATGTGGCATAAAAAGAAGAAATTTTCACTTCACAATTTGAACGTTTATTTCTTTTTCTCTTAACTGAACGATTTAGTTGATTATTCAATTGAAAATTAATTAGTAACACTTAAAGCGTAATGGAAATATGGCTAATATAGGGTCAAAGATCAATGATGCAAAACTTGTTTTCTGGAAACTTTTCTAGTAATAAATGCTGATAGAATGAAAAAAACTTCAAATTTATGTAAAAATACTGAAAAAAAAAAGCACGAAGGAATGAATGACAGAAAAAGGAAATTAGAAAAAATGTGTCTGTGCTGAATAATATTTATTGCAACTAAAATGTTTTTAATAAAATACTAATTAATTAAATGTTTTAACAAAAAGAATTTCAAGACAATAACAAAATATTACACATTTTTGCTGAATTAAAACTAAAAGAAGTATTTTGACAAATCGACAAAACATTTCAGTTTTTTTCTTTGTCATATCTTTTATTATTGGATGATTGATGATGCTTGCATTTAATAAAAACAATAATCTAAAATAAAAAAATTTGCGACAATTTAAAATCGAAAATAATTCATTTCATACGGCATGAAAATTCAAATTTACATTTCAGTTATATTTATTACATTGTTAATTTGGCAATGCTTTTATAAATTTACAAACTTGATACCGCATTCTTCTAATCTTAATTAACAATGTTTTTTGTATTTTTAAAAGTTTGAGAGATAGAAATTTTAATGACTGAAACTTTTTCAGCCTTTTTTCGTCCTCAAATACAATGTTTCAAATGTTTCATTTTTACTTCTTTTTCATTAGAGACATCCATTTATTTACTAAACATTTATTAATTAATCCACTTTCTTATTTTAACTTAATTATGCCATGTAATAGCTATTTAAGTAAAATTTGATCATTTATTTAAAAAAAGAAAAGCTATTTTTAACTGGATTATTTTTGGACGGCCAATTCGATATGTGCAAACATTCATTACTCCGTAAAATCAATTTAGTGGTTAACCTTGGAATTTTCATACATTGTTTCACAAATTTATATAAAACACATTAAACTGGATCAAATTTCCACTTTTTTATATGTATAATCAACGGAATGCTGGTTAAAAAACTGATTTCATATTTTAATTAAAGTTTGAATTCGAATTTAGACTTTTAATAGGTCATATGTGCATTTTTAGATGAATTTTTTTCATTAAAATATATTCGCAGCTACGATTATTTTATTTATTTCATGAAAGTAATTATGATAGTGAGAAAGTAAGAAATTAAACGATATTAGTGTTTGCTATTAAAACATTTTAAATTGCAGTTAGCTCGATCGATTGATGAATTAAGAGGAGATTTTTTAGTGATCAGTAAAGGTCACTGTTACTACAGAAAAGCTGTAGTATTAAATGATTGAACTTAATTTTAGTTCTAGAAATAATCTTTAAAAAATGGAGGTAATTTTAACTGAAAACTATCTAACCAACGCTACGCTAACTGCAGCCTATACTAATTACAACTCATACTATACAACCTGTGCTAAGTTTATTTCTAGTTTTCTTCTGTTGATTTCTGCTCGAATTTCATTTTGTTTACTTAAAGTTCTATAATACTTTCTGTATTAGCATTTACCCATAATAAATTCATTCAGTGAATTATTAAAATGAATCAAAATATCTAAGAAATCCAGATAAAAAATAATTCCTGAAATTACTTTATTCTTAAGTACTGAATATTTCTTTTATACATGTTAGAAATTTTGCTTTAAAACATTCGATAATAATTTGGTTTTAAAATTTTCACCTCTTTATTTTAAAAAAATTTTACTGAAAATTTATCTTCCAGTTTTATTATTTGATGTCTTTTAACGATCAGTTTTCAATGACGTGATTAATTTTCAATTAATTAATCTTTCTAAGTTTTTTATTTTTTTTCTAGTTTCTTATTTTTGGCCACTTCATATTTCAACCAATATTATTTGATTACTTTTTAAAATCCAATTGAAATCCATTGATTACTTTTTGATAAATCACTAATATCACTGAAGCCAAAGCTTATCACCTATCTCTTAGCTATGAATTATTTTCCATGAAAGCAGTTCTCTTCTTTCATCGCTTATTATTTATTTTTTTTTTTTCAATATTTACTTTACTTTGTGAACTTTTAATGCATATATTTGTTAATACTACTAAATATAGAATGCAGCTCGTAATTGAATTTTATTGTTAGTCAAAAATAAATGAAATAGAATGCAATTTTTTAATTACAATTTATTTCTAAAGGAAAACATGAGAAAAAAATTAGTGGAATAAAATTTATGAAAAAATAATCACTTTCTCGTTTAAAAAAACTAAAAGTCTGTTCCATTGTGATCCAAATTTCAGTAAATTTCATTCTTAAATGGTTCAAAAAAAAACTAGAAATGAATAATTTGAATAAATACCTAGAGATAAGTAATTCAGATAAAATAAAAAACATTTAGTAATATTGGAAATATTAACAGTAGAGATATTGAAATTTCATCGTTGCTTTACTATTATATTATCAACAAATATTTTTATAAAATCCAATTCATTCAGCTGTATGTGAAAATTATTTTTACTAATAAATTAATTGTATTAAAGATTAATTCATTTTCTAACAAGTACCTCTGATGATTTGATAGAGATTTAATTAATAAAATTTGGAGTGCTTGTTTCACAATTATTTAAAAGCAGGGAATATTAGTATTAAGAGATATGATGTGATGCGATGTGATGTGATGTGATGTAATGTATGATAATGGAAGTAATTAAGTAGTAGGTAGTAGTAATGGGGCGGATATAAAATTTATCTAAAATAGACTGGTTTTAGACTTTTAATAAATAAAATTATATGCTCATTTAAAAAAAAAAAATTAATTATTACAAATGAATCAATTAATACAGCCAAAAATTACCGGTTAATTAAGCCGGAGTTGTTTTGCTTATCTGCTCGTCATTTAATGGATTAATTTGCTCTTTTTATCCTCTTCTCTTTCGCTTCTTTTTCTTATTATCCACTTTTTCTCTTTTTATTTCATTTCTTTCATCTAATAAATTTATTTAGCAAAGGACAAAGTAGTGTTTTGTGCTATTTGAAGCAGAACTTATTTTAAAATATCATCATCCTCTTTCCTTTCACTTTATTCAGCTTTTATCATTGGAAGGATTTCTCTTTGATATTTTTCAAAAGCTTGTTTTTATTCAATCATTATTTATCTATCAATCATTATTATCCTAACATTACTTTTCCTCCTTTATAATAATATGATAATTTCTTCTTATCCACTTTTTCTCTTTTTATTTCATTTCTTTCATCTAATGAAAATAAACATGTTGTCATTTCATCTTTCTTCTCTTTTATTATTTCCTACCAATTTGTTCTCATAGCTTATTAATTTTTTTTTCATACATGTTTTAGATAAATTTGCAAAAATATTTCATTTTGTTTTGTGTGTTTTTGCAATTTCAAAATTATTATAATTGTTGATCTGATTGCTTTGAATAAATTAGTGGTAGGAAAATGTTGCGAATAAACAAATGCTTGCTAAAATGTTTCCTTCTTTAAACAATAATTTTATTTCCAATAAATTTTGATGTTAACAAATTTCTTTTCTCATTTTTCCTGTCTTTTCTCCTCTTTTAAACCAAAAATTAAAATAATTCCAATTACTTCAACTTTCAGTAAATATATTAATGCATTGATTAATTTCACACCTTTTTTTGTTATCATGTACTTTTGATATATGTTAATATATGCATAAATTACTGTATAATATATTTTGAAAAAAAAAATCCATTTCCTGTTTTCCAATATATTCTTTTGAAAATACAATAATTACTGCAGCTCTTTTACATATTTTATTTACTTTTTCCTATTAATGCAACACTCTCTTGCTGATTTGTAAAATTCAAAGAGGAAAAAAAAAAGAAATTGCTTATTATTTTTGTTTG